TAGCAGTTTCTGCTAGTGCTTTTTCGTCCGGGAAAGTAACCCATATCAGCTTCTGATATGGCTCTGGTGCGTCGAGGGAAGACGGGGGCACTGGTGTTTGCGAAGGTAATGGAAATTGGCCTGTTACTTCGAGATTGCGACACTGACTCCCAGAAGATTTTACCTCTTTACGCCTCTCGTTTTGTCGAGCTGTCTTTATCGTGCGATGTGTGACACACCGTTTCTTGTCTGCTTCGGGTCTCTCGGTACATACGAGATTGGCAGTGCATTCCCCGTTCCGGCCGCGGTCCTGTAGTTGCTTGCGATACGCTTTGTATGAACTGTTTTTCATTTCTTTTTAACTGTAGAGAGGCTATGGTAGCACGTGAAGCGGGATGCGAGGCGGGATGCGAGGCGGGATGCGAGGCGGGATGTGAGGTGGGACGTGAGGCGGGCTCTGAGGCGGGCTGAGGCGGGCTGAGGCGGGCCCTGAGGCGGGGTGGTGGAGCTATACTATTACTGTACTAGTAGAGCGCTGTGAGCCAATCATAACCGTTGAGGCTTTTAGCGGCTCGCTAAGCCTGCCTTTATCGAGACAGCTCCGTGGAGGTATTTTAGTTTGGCGACTCGTTTACAATATACGAATGATGTACTACCAACCGCCCAGCATCCGTGAATCGCGGAAGCAGGCTATATATTATAATCTCGCGCTCATCTAGCATTTCTCAACTATTCTTGTACGGCATACGCGAAGAGAGCTAGTGGCAGGAACAATAACAAAGCAAAACGCATGACCTCTACAGCCCCCACTCCAGCGGCCAAAGCAGCATGTTCAAATTGAAAAACCAAGTTTGATGCGGTAGTGAAGATAGCCCAAATGAATCAATACAGCACCGAACCCCCCACTGACGATGACACCAACAAAGCTCCACTAGATGCACAGCAGCAATACTACAAATGACGATTACGTTAGCTTTGTTAAGTGCACCCCTAGCACTATATATTGCCTCTGCCTGTCACCCAGGGCTCAGCCCACTGATACAAGTGACACATGCAAACTAGCCTACCATACAGTGAAACTATTGTGTTTTCAATCAGCAGTGGCATCAGCGACGCCACCTCGCTTGAGCACCTCAAGCTTGTGCAGTACGTCAACGAGCAGGACACTGTCATCATTGTAATGCGATGGATCTTGAAATGCTTTGATGGTGTGACGGATTTGACTAGTGTATTGGATCTCAAGCAGCAAAGACTAGTAGTCGGTTGCAGCGTGCGAACATCTCGTTCATTTTAGCATACAATTCTGACCCCATGTACTATCCCAACAACTTGAACCACGACGCAATATAATTTTCTCAGACAGGGGATTCGATTGACGCAGCCGTATGGGAAACAGGGGCAGTTCTCAGCGGGGAGAACACTAGCAATATTAGCGGCGAAGCAAGTAGAGGCCGTAGCAAGAGGGCTTACCTAGATGTAACTGAGGATGATCAGGCCAAACCTTCGACGGCCTCCTGCACATCTCCAGCGCACACATTCGACGTATCGGAAAGGTCATCACTCTGGTCCAAAATGATCTGGCCATCTGTATAGTGTCAGTATTACAGTTTTCCGTATCGCGCCAACGTGATACCTACCGTTGCCCCCGGAGGTCTTTGCCGGATCACCTTTTCCCTTAAGAGGGAGCTCGCTGTTGATATCCTGGCTGTCGGCACCGTGCTTGTTGGAAGTTGCGTGGAAGAGAGCCGAAGCACCGCGATCAGCCTTCTCAGAAGTAGTCAGGGTGGTAGCATGGCCGTCTAAAAGGCCCTTCTTGTACCAGATCTGAGCCATTTCCTTGAACAACTGGAAGGGGTCCGTGTTTCTCAGAACAGCAAGCTTTTCGTAGTCAACCTGTCAATGATGTCAGCAACATGCGAGTGAACCGAGATGCGCAACATGTCTGCAAGAAATAGTCGTTTGCTGAGAGAAAGATGGGGACGGCTTACATCTGGAACTCCCTTGCATGCCAACATGCAAAGAGGCAGTCGCGCGCTCTCAAGCTTGGTCAGTTCTTTATATGAGGCAGCCGTAGTCATCTTGCTAGCTGTTGGCCGTGAATGATATAGGAGTATGTTTGTGGTGGCGAAGAGGATCAGGAGCTCAAGACTGTGAGAGCAAGGGAATGATAGAAGAGTTGAGAGGTGGGTTGGTACGCAGTATTAGTGATAAAAAAATTTTCGCATGTTTGTGGCGGAGGGCGACAGTGACGTCCAAAAGTGAAAATGAAAGTGATGGTGAACGCGTGCAATGATTCAACTGATGCAGCTCCCCACGAAGGATAAAGCTGTAGACCCCTGCCAAAACTGTGCTATCGCGCGATCTTCTCGTAAGGTACTGCAAAAATCTTCTATTCGATTTCTATTTATTTGCATCTGTTAGATAAATACATGTGGTGTCCGAGCGTGGTGGTATTGGTGGAGGGCTTGGCAGAAAGTTTGGCGGGCGGTGACGCAGCAGCCTCACCACTTTTAGCACCCATGACCTGATTTCTACTCAGCTGTAGCTTGACTATAACAGATTTCTTTTTGCAGTTGCAGCAACGCGATCCTTTGCTCTTGTGCCCGAGCGGCAGCCAGTTGCGCAGCCCTACTATCGTACCTCTTTTGCAATTTACCGTGCCTCTCTTACTTCAGCAGCTATCTATGTTTTATAGGCGACAGTCACCGTCTCTAATTCTGTTGCTTTATTTACGAATCTTTGTCTTGCAGTTGCTGTTTTCTGCCTCTTTGTGAGCTCTGGCCTTCCTTACAAGCTGAGGGCTCCTAATCATGACAGTCTTGGTGCGGCTACTCATTCGGAATCTTTGTATGAGATTTCCGGGGTTTTCTACATAGTGCAGAATTCGTTGCGAAGTTCATTCAGTTTATAATACAAAAGTTCGTATCCGATCTGCAATGAACGAAGGCCCTGTTTGAGCTGTTTGGCTTCAACCTTTGACTTATCCGGCACAGCAGCACCAGATGATTTTGACAGGATAATTCTAGTTGTTCTTTATTACATACTTCCCTACTTTCGGTATCTATATCGACTCGTGGTGTTGGTGTTTTAAAGTGTTCCAACATGACCAAGGGGGGGGGGGGGGGTTGCGTCAGCACGAGTTGGGCAGGCGGGCGAACGTTTTTTTGTCAATGTCATCGCTGCTACTGCTGTGATGATAGTGGTAGTAGTAGTCATCCATACATGCGTTTTGTCACCTACCCAGAAAGTAAATGGAAACATCGAGAAGACGATTTTCTTGGGCCTCCGCGTCGCAGCCCTTCCTGCCAGTTCAATTCTGCCCCGTCGGGTGTATCATCGAGTCAGTGCTTCACAGTCCCGAGTTCTAGTACCTCGCTCGCCAACTTGGACACAGGCGCAGATACGAAGTGTGTGTTTGCTAGACCCTAGCTCGACGGGCCAGTCCAGCAACCAACCGACTTCTGGCTTGATAGCTGCACCCCCGACCACATTCTAGATGTATCCGACCTCAAGACTTCACTAGGTCGCTATAGTCAACACAGGCAAGAAATCCAACTCGCCCCCTCCCAATTAAGATGCTTGCGCGGCAGACTCTAGTGCTCGCGAGCCGGCCCTGCTGCTACGTTTCCGGACAGAAGCCTCCTACTACTCAACAAATCGCACTCTGAGGCTCTGCCCGCCGGAAAATCCAGACATCGGTAAGCTCCTTTCTGATGCTTGTGTGTCATCTGGTCTAAGTCTTGCAGGTCTCGATCCCTTCATACTGAATGCTTGCCCTCAATAACTCGTCTCTATCGCCATATACATTACGCTAGTCGCGCTCCTTCTTTCTGGCTACATCTATTACTGGCCACTCTCTGTCACCACCGCGTCGCGTAACTAACTACACATTGTTCGAGCAAACATCAGTGCACATCCAATCGTATGTCTTTCTCAAGGCCGCAGCTTGGCCTGGGCCATAATCGCTATACCGGCCACTTTTTTACTTCACCTCTTTACAACAATATGGGGCCATGTCAGCTGCCGCCGAAGCTTCTCATCCCTTCCCACCGCCGAGGCCATGTGCTCATGACAAATCTTTTGAAGAAATTCCCAGCAAACCATTTCTAATAATCTGCGAGCATGTGGGCAGGCGCAATCTCCTGGATCACACATTGGCCAAGCATCCTTCATTTGAGAGATCTATGCATGCCTCAAAGCTTGCCCCCGCCATTCTCACCCACACACCGAGCCTGTCTATCAGCCTTTAGAGTACTGGCACTCAATCAAAAGCTGTATTACATATGCCCCTGGAGCTTTGGCTGTGTGTTGCTGACCATCTGAAGCACCATGATGCCTTGTTCGTGATGTTTACTTTGGAGACAAGTTCGTCAAACCCCTGACGCCAGATACGAGGAACAGATAAAAGTTTTGTGGTGGGTGGACGAGGAATAAGGCATAATCATGTGGCATGCAACTGTATGGTCAGAGGCTGTACATGTTATCAAGAAACGCACGTCAACACCAAACTGCGCAAGAATGAAATTTGAATTTTTATAACACAACGCCAACCATGAATGAGGGAATATATTTACTGGAATACCAAAAAATTCCGTTTGCAGATGGCAAAGTGATTTATTGCGACTCTGTCGTTCCAGTCAAGGTACCCGATGTTTGTACATCCGTATGAGATACTGCTGGCAGTTTGTCTCTACGAATACTAGCATGAACCAGAGTTACGTTGTGCTCTGACATCTTGCAAGTACTGAATAAGTTGATTATCCGACCACAAGTTGAAGGGATAAAACTGGTAACCCAGTGAGGAGAAATCCTCCCGATCAATGACACTCTGGTTCCGTTCACCCCATGGTGGCAACTTCTTCATGCAAATATCAAGACTCCATACCCTTACCATCAGGCTCTCGACATTTTTGTTGGGATATGAAGGCAATCTGGCCGTCACCAAGTACTCTGGGATGACATTGTGGTCAGAGTTGCCAACCCTTCGTACTACACCAATTGCGACATTGGGATCTGAACTGTATTGATTGGTCTTCAGTCGCTGAACCTGGCGACCAAGTTCCAACAAATTCTCTAGCTCTAGTTTGTATTCGAATGTCGCACGGCTGCCTGTGCTCTTCAGGTGATCCTGAAACCGATCGAGCTGGTATCGAGGGCCGGCGGGTAGCGATGGCATAGAGCGGGGATTTGCATAGCCGTCCTCGATATCACTGCTGACAAGTATGGGGTCTTCCTTACTTCCGGAATGTGCAAAATGAGAAGAGACCGGGTGCGAATGCGTGTTTTTCTGGTGGTGGCGCTCCGGTGAGCAGGGCGACTGTTTGCGGGGACGACTATCCTCAGTCGAATCTGGTGACGAATCAGCCCTATACCGAGCAAATTTGCTGCAAATCCTAGCCTGAGCTTACCATTCATCGGTGGAACCATAGCTGATGCGTCAATATGGGGCTTGTGTGGGCGCCAGTCGCCAATCTTGTCTTTGACACTCCAGGTACTTCGCCAGTCAGCCCGAGCGCGGTTGTTAAGCTCTTCAATAGCAAGGTGTTGTTCTTGCGTCTCCAGTTCTGAAATATAGCTCACAAGACCATTGAGGGTGCCTAAGTCGACATCTTGAGGTTTGTTGGCGTGGTGCCTCATCAAACGATCGTGATGTACCAAAAATCCAGCTTTTTTTGCGGCCCACTTCAAGTGGTCTACGTTGTTAATGCGTATTTCATACGGACTTAGACCCAGGTTTCGATAGACATCAAAATTCTCCATGCCCGGGCCACCGTATTCTTCAGAAATGCCAACCATATTGCTCGAGTGGGGCGAATGAGTGAGTGTCTTCGAGAAGCCAATAGGATGAGCGCAACGGACCCAATTTAGGGCTGCACGGGTGAAGGGAGTTAGAAGAAAACTAGTAAAAGAGATCGTTAGGCAGCAAGTTTGGGAATGGAGAAAAGCTACTCTATGAGTTGTAGAGCTTGAAAGGCCTGGTGAACCGCAATCGATATAAGTGGGGCCTGCAAACCAGTGAGAGAAGATAACAGAGTCGCGTCGAAGTGAAAGCCAAGATTTGATGCTAGCTTCTCGACTAGCTCTTACGAATACTAATTAAGACAAGGGCAGCTGCGGAAAAATGGCGATTGCGTGATAACTGCGATGCCAATCTCATGTCTCTTTACGGTCTGGTACGACGCTTTCTTACCATGGTTGATAGAAGTCACATATTCGATATTATCAGACTCAGTAGTGCACCATAATCAGCAATCCAGGTTAAGTATATTACCTCGTATAGGCGGTGACGGATGGTTTCAACATCACCTTTCAAGAGTCCTTTCGCATTGTCTATCCTAGGGACAAGGGATCGACTCACATTCTGTTAAGCATGGATCCAACATCTGTGGTTAAGATTTCCTGTTTTTAGCGATTATGTTAGTTCTCTTCCTATCTGTCCAGTGTTAAGCATACGATGAATCTGTACAGTAATGAACTGTACAGGCAAACGTACTGGTCTTCTCTATTGATAAGTTCCAAATCGTGTAGTAACAAGGATTGATATATGACACCAAATTTGGTTTCCGCCGTTCCCGCGCGTTGTTTTGGCGTGACTTTGCCCACGACATAGCCCGATGAGGATGAAGGACGAGCAGTGTGATATTGACGAGCGATAATAATAACTGGACAAATAATATGGTATATCTTTCTTATAGTATCCGAAATTGTCTGGTGGCTGCCTTTCAGACACATAGGGTGCCAAAACGTAAGAAAGTGTAGTTATAATACCGGTGGAAGAACCTCACATAACTGAAATACATGAATGAAATCCTGTGGAAAATACATGTGATACAAAGTAGCAGTAGGCATGAATTGATCTCGAATGCTTTGAATGCAGGAACAACCCACGATCCCATTGATTGTTCGTATCTACGAACGTTCACATGTGCTATTCATGCTCCTTCTTTTCCTAATATCTCATTATGAACGCAACCTTATCATCTGCCCCAGACTACCCCCCTCCACACCACCAGTGAATCAAACAGACTAATGGATCGAACGTATTTAGCATCCAGGCAGTAGAATGCACGGTTATACAAGCGGTGGTGGGCGATTTCCCTCCCAGTTCCGTAAGCACTAGCAGTATCAATAATAAGCAAGAAAGAGTGGGCAGCAAGATTGCTAGCTTACGTTGGGGCCCATGGAGAACTTCAAGCATCTTCTTCTAAGTTCTGCTTGTCATTTCCGACCAGCTCACTCTTCGCGAGGGGAAGATCGAGATCGAGGTTATCAGGACATTCTGCCTGGGCATCTGCTTGGCCTTACTATCACGCGATATGTCCCCGGCCCCTCCAGGTACATACCTTCATTGTTGAAACTTGAATCACCTTCTATTTTCTTAGATTCCGTGGCGGCAGCTACCTTGCTGATACGGGAAGTTTGTTTGGGACTTTTTCTAACGGGTTTAAGAACCTCGCAGAGTATTTTACACAAGAGGTCGGCCCATTCGATAGCGACGGAGGTCGACGTGGTACCAGAAAAGGTAGCAAGTTTCTCAAAGTCAACCTATCCTTGGTATTAGCTTCATGTATGGAAGCATAGTGTTGTAGCGAGTGAAAAAAGACATACCTGGAGAGAGCCACCCTTTGGAGACATGAACGCATAAACCAGAATTTCTAGATCACGCTTCGTGAATCGGTCGACAGGGTTTTTGGTAAGAGTAGTGTTGTCGTTGCTGCTCATATTGTCGTTGCGCAGGTTGATTTGTTTGAAGTGTTCCTTGTGAAAGGAAGAAAGGTGTAGAGGCTTCGGGTGGACAACAAATGGTAGATTTAGAGCTAGCGGAGATTTACTAGTGTGATAATGAACGTGAGCACTGAAACGTGAATGTAAAGGGACTAGCTGCTCACGACCGCTCAATGCCACCCGACGTCAACGTCCAAGACGGTGTTCCTTGATGGTATCCCTTCATTTGACAAGAGACCGGTGAAAGCCCAAAGATACCTTGATGCGAGGAAATCTAAATTTTTCTAAAAACTCATCAAATTGTCCTGCAATAGCTGGTTACTATAAACTAAATCCCGCATCGTAGAAGTCTAAGAGAAGTTGTGCAGTAAAGGTTCAGCAGATTGTGGGTGTGATGATACAATCCACGTTACTATTTGCAGTGCCTTAGATTTCTCTCTCTGTGAGTAAAGATATTGGTTAGCGACAGGGATGCCAAGGTATCGTAAGTTGTGGTAGGTTGTATCAAATGCTGGTCTTACAGGATTTTAATGCTATGTATCTATCAAGACAAGATCAGGATAGCGACAGATTCAGTTACCACAGGTAATGGGGAATGGCAACAGTCGGGTCTAATGCGTTCTCTGCCTGAACGCAGGTATCGCAATCACTGCTCAAGGGGTCTGTGGACTTTTCCGACAATATTGCAACATTTGGTTTTTTTCGCAACGGGAAGTGGCAGAAGGCAAACTAGAACATAATAGTACGCGACCAAGGCTGAATGGTAATCTAGCTGCGAGATGGTCGCATTATTGTACAAGTAACCCTCATGTTCCCATCATCCCGCATTCATACCCTGTGTCAACATGCCTCCGTACTTGTTCCCTCATATCCCAGTATAATCCTTCATGCGTCCCACCATGGCCCGTCGTCCGACTCCTCCTTGTTATCTTCCTCAGGCCCACTGCCATCTTGTTCATAGAAGTCGTTGTCGTTGTGCGGCGAACGGTCGTCAGCGGGGGCGGCGTCGTCGTCGTGAGAATTATCGGCGGTTATCTGGTAGGCCGTGTTCAAGTCGCCAACGGTGTTGTATGTGCCGTATGGGTTTCGCGTACAGACGAAGGTGCGTTCGTATTTGTCGTGCAGTTCGTTGAAGAGACCTGCTGTCTGGATGCGGTACTCTTTCCATGTGAGTCCGTCATCTTCGCACGGATCGTCGCGTGCGGCGCGCACTACCAACAAGTGTTCAAGAGCGTTCAGGATGTCAGCGGCGATCTGCGTGCCAACATTACTGTACTGTGCCATCTGGGTGAGAGCGTAGCGTTCCTGCTCGTTGAGCGCCTCCCATGCCTCTACTGGGATATTGGCAGTCTGCTCCGTACCGTTGCAGTGTGCGTCGATTGCGTCTATGGTCCGCATAGTGAGGAGCCGCTCACGTTTGTCTGTTTTGTATGGGCTGTCGCGCAGCCAGTCTGCAAATAGGTGTGCTTCGTCTGGCATATCATCGTCGTCAATATTGTCGAGGGTGTTGGCGAAAGCTTTGCTTTCAAACGCGTCGTTGTCAAACGGGTGGTTGCTGGGCGCATTTAAGAAGGATAGGAAGCCTGGGCCGAGCTTTCCTTCGATTTGCGAGAACGATTTCTCACTTGGACTGCGGGGGGCGGAAAACGCTGATGAATCGTCTGCGAAGAAAAAGGCCTAGGAGGGGGGCAGCGCCTCAGACTGTGCATCGTCGGTTTGTTCCTTTGACTCCTCTGCGTGTGGCTTGGTCACAGTCTCGTCGGCGTCGGCTTGCTGGTTTCCCCATGCATCTGTGCCGGTCTACTGGTCATTCCAAGTGCCAGTGGTCGTTTCATGTATTGGTGTCGGCCTGCTGGAGGGTTAAGATTAGCCAACCATCGGCGTCGACCGGGCCTTGAGTTGCTGCGGTGTTTGACTCGGTGAAGACATTCAAATCGGGTTTGATTTCTTCCATGCGCGCGACGATCTTGAGGTCAACTGCATCATGGTCTGAGTCCTCATAGAGGACGTCGGCAATCGTGGATGGCTTCACATATACTCGTACTTCGCCTTCTTCGCCCAGGCCCACAGCCTTCATGGCCGTCTGATATGGCTCCATGCCTCGGATCTCTGCGAGCTCTAGGAGTCTAATCCACTTGTTCTTGTTCATGTGGCGGATGGCTTTTGTCAAGGGGTATGACTGCTTGACGTCTGAGTTAGGAGCGGCATACTCAGTGGTTGGTCCGACAAGCTGGCATGAGGTGCGAGCCCACGTGTTGGCAACAACGGTCCTTCCGAGGTAAGGTGCTGTTGGAGATCTCCATGTCGGTAAGTATGTTTTCATTATCGATGTTCTGCGTCGTTGACTCCGCCGGTATTGGTGGCGATCGATGGACAGCGATGTCCTGTCTTGAGTCGGGGTCGCAGCCGTCCTTCTGTGGCTCCGCTAACCGTTTTCCGTTTTGTGGTTCACGGCGACGTCTTGCTCGTCGTTTCGCAAAGCGTCGTCTTCTTCGTGAGCATCGACGAGGGTTTCATCAGAAAATTCGCAGTCATTGTACTGGTCCAGCAGATCCATCATGAACGCGACGCGCTTCTGACCGTATGACCTGGGGCGGGGAGACCTGTCTGGGCAGTCCAAGTCCTTGTGCTTTCCGCCGCAATGCTGACATAGATACGCCAACGGCCGTTCCGTGCGGTTGCTCGCGATCGCCTTGAGTGCGGGTCGAAGAGGCTCCGGCAGTGTCTTCGCGTTGGTGGTTCGAGGTTGTGGAGCGGGGCGATAGGTCGAGGGCTGGTCTTGTCGTCGACATGCAAACTCTTGTGCGGCAACTCACAACTGGCCGGTGGCCTGTCGCCGCTGTTGCTCGAACATGCGTTGTGCGGAGTATTCCTTCTGGTAACAAAGGCTGACAAAGTCTTCCATCGTCATGTATGGGTCGATGGTGACCGCGTTTTGGAGAGTAGGGTCAAGGTCACCCCGGATCTTCTGGATGAGGAGAAGCTCATCCGGTCCCTCAAAGCCAGCGTCGTACAGCAATGTCTCTTTGCGCGTGATGTATTGACGGACGTCGAGTGACTCGTGTTCGAATGAATGTTTGCATCGGTTAGCTTCGTCTTCCGCAAGCATCGCGTCTTTTTGGAAGGGGTGGCGTAGCGCGATGATCCATTCGTCAATGTCGGTCGTCATGCGGCTAAGCTGGCTGTCGGACAACAATGTATACCAGTCCATAGCATCGCCCTTCATGCACAGTGGTAAGACTTCCAACACTCGCTGGTATCCGTACAATCGAACGTGTTGGGGTGGATCGTAAGGTAGCGTCGAACTGGGAGGGTGGGGATGAAGGTGGTTGTTGATGCAGGTCAGAGGGGACTCTTAGACTTTGTATCGAATCTCGTGCAAACGACCCTGGTGGTTCCTACATATGATCTTCGTAGTCGGTACCTTCTCGGAGGGCTCCGCTGCTGATTCCTCCGCCGGGCTTGGTTGGGGTAAGCGCGGTTCCGAGAAATGCTCCGGTCCGCTCTGGTTGGCCGTTTCTTCGTCTGTAAGTAGATCATGGTGTGGGGCACCTCCACGCTTGCGTTAGTTGCTGCCGTATGGGACCTGGTAGCACCGCGCTTGCCCTTTCGCGTGTTCCGTTTATCTACACGATTCGATGGTGCAGTCGAAGAAGCTGAGGACGCTCCGGTAGGCCGGCGTCCAAAGCTGTTGCGATGTTCGTGGCTCGTGTGGATTCCGTTGGGGATCGATGCGAAGCATCAGCTCTCGTGAACTGATGGTTGGCATTGAGTCGTTCGTGGGTGAGTGTTAGGTGCCATCAACTCGCAGATTTGACAGGTTACACTGTAGACAGGTTTTTTCCTTTCGGCAGAGTCTGACGGGGGCCTGCTTTGGGCTGGTTGTCCGGACTGGTTGTCCGGGCTGGTCCTTGACGGTGCCGCGGTTTCGATGGCGATCGCGCAATGCGTTCGGCGACGCTACGCAATGTAGGCCGAGAGGGAGGGGGCCGCCGCGCAATACAGATCGAAGCTGGAGCAGCTACCAGATGTCACGGCTGGGACGGCCACCAAAAAACGGACGGTATATCAAAACAGTATGGTACAAGTCTATCTATCCCGGAGGTGGGCCAAGTGCAGAATCTTAGCCAAGGCGCTATACCCAAATAAGGTGAGTCACGGCAGCGCCATAACAGTTTTGTCTGATAAGACCGCAATGCATATCTATACGGGGGCTTTGGTGGTCTAGTTCTAACAGTGCAAGAAGCATCTGAGGGGACTTGTTGTGCTGTGTGTGGTTGCTACTCGCCAATGCTGCCCATTATACTACAGGTGCTTTGCCATTTTTGCTTAGCATGCTAGTTCAGCTCAATAGAGGTCCTTGCCAGTAGGAGCGGGCATCTCCCCAGGTCATTTGCCAGTTGAGCGTGGTCATACCAATCTTCTTGGTGTGTAGACGAGGTGAAAGTTTATTCGCAAATTCTACGAGCTCTCCAATACTATTAAGTAAAACGTGTGACTGTGGGCAAACTAAGCGATTGATATGGGCGAAAAGCTGGACGAGCAATTTAGCAGTTTAGTTTGGTGTGTAACTGAAGAAGCGAGCAAAATAGATAGAAGATGTAAAGAGACAGAAGACTCGTCTTCAACTGAAATCTGAAGGCATATTTTACGTAGCTGCAAACGATGTTTTTTGAAATGACATGATAAAGTCTGTTTTAGGCGCGCATTCAGGAACAGACACAAGGTAGAGTCGACCAGATACCATTCCTCGCGAATCGATGGCTGACTCAAGACAGACGGAGAGTATTAAGACATGTATCAACGAGCCAGCGACAGGAACATATTTAGTGAGACTTCTAAGTACATAACATCCCTAACAGCCTCAGAAGGAGAGGATCTGCCAACAACTAGCTAAACACCGCGACCTCAAATTACTAAAACACCCTAGCTATCTGTCCTGCTCAAGTGCCACGTAGAAGGCGCAGCGCCAATCTCGCAATGCACAAAATAACTAGGCATCTTGGCCACCAGCTCCCACAATCAGGATACAAGCCCTTGCTATCACGGCTTCGCCTTGAAGACAACCTTCTCTTCGGAAAAGTACAATATCCTTTTGCGTACACAAACCAGAAGGGTGCATCTGCTCTGCCTAAGTTGCCGAGAAAGTGTTCTAAGCGCTGGCATGATATCTGCAAGCTTTTCCGTGGGCGAGTCAAACTCCTCGGCATCAACATCAAAGCTGAGATGCAAGGTATTCAACTGGTCCGGGATATTCATGGGAATGAACTCGCTATCTCTGTGATTGTCCACCACATGTCTAATCGCATCGACATTCAAGCCCTGAATTTCCAATTCCTTGACATTGGGAGGGACTGACCGCTTAAGCTGCTGTAAATCCAGATCCGGGCCGACGTCGGGCAGCAGCCACTGGTGGATTCCAAAGTAGGTGACGGTCTCAAGCCGATGTGCGTTGGGTGGGATAATGGTTGCAAGATCGAAATCATCTCCCTTATAGCGGAAAGTCAGGACAAGAGTTTTGATTTTTAGGGCAGTTTGGAAAACAGTGTCAAAAAAGTTGCTGGACTCATCATCAGAGAACAGACCGTCATCCCGGATGCAAATTTCCTCAAGGTTTGGTGGAGCGCCGGTCCTTAGGAGCTCAGTGATCTGACTCGCACCGTTGAAGCCCCCACGTATGTGGATCGAACGAAGACTGGTAGCATCGGATGTCTGGAGACCAGGGACACCAAACACAGGTTCTGTACCAGGTCTAGTGACTACGACTTCTGTCAGGGTAGATACTAGGGGGACGAAGGCGTTTTGGTGGGAAAGTGTTATCTCCAGACGCTGCAAGTGTGCAAAGGGTTGATGTCCATGTGCTAAGCCGGTGGAGTAGGTGGAATGAAACAGGTCGAAGAACATAGCCGCCTCCTGGAAACGAGACATGTCCAGCTGTAATACCTCCAAGTTTTCCGCCTTGAAAATAATCCATGCCAGGCAGGCGCTCAAGTATCCTGTTTCCGACATCCAGGCTAGAAGCCACTTCTTCTTAGTGTCCTTTGGAAGAATAACGGCATCTGGTGTTGAAGGAGAAGTGGCTCGCAGCTGTATCAAGGATTCGGTCAAGTGTCGCGCCTCATCTGAGTCCTCGTAAGACAGTTCGTGCACGTCGCCGCTCTCCAAGACAGCGGCGTTAATCTCGATTGCTCTAGTGACTGAAGTAAAGAAGGGATATCGCTGTAGAAAGCGAACCAAACTTAGGACCTTTGGCGAAGTCTGATACACCAGCTTGATTGCTTTGTATAGCGCTTCTTCGGCCTCAAACAGGTTCTTCGAAGCTTGTACGAAGGCGGCTACATCGGGTTGCGGTAGGTATCTAGTCACCTCTAGGGCCAATTCAATAGGGAGACGATCAATATATGACATGTTGGATGATTGTAGAAAGAGTAAAGAGGTGAGAGATGAGCACGAAGCGGGCCAAGGGCAGCGGTACGTGGTGGCGCAAGAAAGAAAGCTCGAAGAAGACAGACGGAAGGTATAAAGTTGAAATTGGCGGGTGTGAAAATTTTTTGCGGGGGTTGAGTTTGCTGCGAGGGTTGAGTTTGCTGATGAGTTGTTGGTGAATGGTGAAGGGAGGGTTTGTAGGCTGAATGGGGATTAGCGGCCAGCTCCCAGAGAAATGGTGAATGCGGATTTGAACATGATTGGGGTCTATTGCAGTGACGTAGTTGCCATCTTTTAGGTCGATATGCAGGTACACACTCGCATGGTGGTGTGCAAGAAGATTTCTGTCGTGCGGTGGAAGCAGTAGCTCCACAGAAGCCGCATAGAGATTGCGGTCATGTTGCGCCCAAGCCTTCTTGCTCGAAACCAAGTCTTGCGATGGACACGTTTTTCAGTGACTCTGTTGCATGGGTGTCATACTTGGGATTGATAGTCCGACTGGAGCGCCTGTTGGAACAGAGTCTAATAGGCCGGGTTGAGCAGTATGACTTACTTTGCAGCGCCTGTAAAGTAGCGATGCAAAGCATTTGAAAGCTACCCATGCGAGGCGCGTCAACATTAGTTGCCGGTGGCAGGCTTAACTTGATCAGATAAGTTAGCGGCCGGCAAAGTGATTTATGGAGAGATCGCGAGCCTCTCTTAACCACAAAATTTAAGTGAAAGTAGCTTGCTGCGATGTACAGATAAGGCCGGATACCTCTGGGGTTATGGATTTTATCTGGCGCGTGCCGGCAGCGTTGTGAGGGAGGTACACGCAAATTGAGATGCATAGCAGGACTGCTTTAATCACAATTATGAATGCAAATGCACCATCTGCTGTCCATGGTGGAGAATATATAAGGAGGAAGTTTCTGTCAGAATCTGAGACATGTGTGTGTGGAGAGACTCGCTGCCAATTTGTACTTCTTTGCGTGCTTCGCTGAAGCTATTACAGCCTCATTCATCAGCTTTTCTCTTACCTTTCTTAACTATGAGACAGTAATATCTTCAAAAAGGTGCTCTCTATTGCGTCTTGTTATAACCGTGGCTTATTCCATGCACACCGCCTTTGGGTATTGCGCATGTCAATGAAGAGACGCCTCCCTCTTACCTCGCTGTTACCTCGGAGTGACTTCAATAGTGTTTGAATTAGATGCCTGTTTTCCGTTTAGTATGCGTGACAAGAATTTAGCATACTACAAGATAAGTGTAAATGCAACTCCAGCTGCATATTACAATCAGTCCCTACAGGGGGTTGTCGTATGAGAAGAAACGCGATTTGGTTGGCTCTAAGAAGCTCTGCGCTGATTGGCATGTCAAGGATTCAGGAATCTCCGTTTTTGGATAGTACGTACGTACTAGCGTCTAATCACGTGACGAACACCGGAATCTCCGCCAGCCAAAACAGCTAAACCAGCTAGATCAGCTATTATTATTATTATTATTGTTGATTAACGTCCTGTCTCAGCCGGTGGGCTATATAAGACGTGCAGGCTGGGCCTACAGGTAACTACGTAGTGCTATCAATTTGGTGTAGGTGGGGGAGAGGTCATCTAAATACAGGTGAGGCTCGTAGCCTAAGCTAGATCAGCTAGAATAGCTAGAAAAGTACAAAAAAATCTACTCTCCGTAGGAGCCGACAGAGGCAAAGAGCGCGCCCCCCAGGTGCGCCTTGAATCCTAAGTCTGTAGTAGTAGTAGTTTTAATAGCCCGGCTGGCGATGCTGAACTTTGAGCTCAAGCTGTACCCCCCCCCTCCCCCTCCTTCAGCACCGCCAGCCGGGCTGTTAAAACTACAGATTTTTCGTTAGTGATAGTAAGCCGCAAGTAGAGTACTCTGTATTCGTTGATTTAAAATGAGCAGTTAGCATCCGACCACAGTTGATATTAAAGTAAAGTGGGCCAAGCGAGGATGAATAAGGCATCAAGGAATCTGGCTGAGGAAATGTGGCGATAACCTCAAAGCAGGGGAGGGTGAAGGATAGGTGGCATCTGGTGACACATACTTATGTCACCTCGCAAAAGACTGTTTGCGCGTCGTACTCCAACAACGCGTCAACACCAGGAGCTCAATGTTTTTCAATACCACACAACTTCGTCGACATGCAATCGTTGTACAGAGATTTCGCACAGTAGAGTACCGGGCGAGATGTGAACCAAATAAAGCGCAACGCATGTATATTTTGGTCCAAGCGGAGGATGGTTGTGATGGTGCGGAAATCGTCCGTCGCGAGGCGGGTCCACTAACTCTATGAGATAGTAAGTAACGCGCATCCCTTTCGTACTGGAACAACCAGTGTGGCGAAACACTGTTCCCAAGCAAGTAGATGGGAGGCAGACAAACTATGGAAACACATTTATAATCTCCTGATTCGCCATTATTATTTAAAACAGAGCCTTTAATGTATGGTAGAGGCTAAACGTCCATTTCCATTAGCATGTGAAGCACGCTGGTTATAGTTTCTTGCCCATCTTACATTTCATCATTTTTACTAGAGGTGCTCTCAGGCGACTTGTTTGTTGTGCCTGGCTGCGCTGGCATATTGATCCACTCGCCACCGTTGGTCCTGGTTTAAGGCACTATTCACAGTGAGCTTAGATCTTACACACTAAGGAGCAGGTACAGTAGTATGTGCGATCTATCCTACGCAGAGCAATGCTGGACAAGCTGTAGTGACGTTGCGGTTGATCAGCTGCTGCAAGAGAGAAACATGGGGTTTATCCGGTTCACCCCACCACCTGCATGTCAAGGCTAACTTTCAATAGTACTGCAAGTGACTGTTAGGTGTGAATATGTTCAAAGTATGAAGTGAGATTGACATTGATCAAGGCTAAAGACACCACGTGCTTATTGGCTACTGGTCAACGACCCTAACCCTGGTGAGTAATGGGCGATCGAAATCGAAGTTTCAAACCCATTTGTTAAGGAACTATACGCTTTTTACAGCAGGTTCGTAGTTTGTATAAAGTACGTGCAATTCGTAGAATGACTGAAGTAGCTAACTGCAACTCTGACTTGCAGGCGCATGGCCCTTGAACCTGGGGTTCCTCACCACCCAATGAACGTCACACTACTGTCCAATGCTATTCTCTCCTGTCCTATTCTTGTTTTCATGGTAATACGTCTACCCTGTATACAACATCCTCGTCCAAACTTTCCCACTTAATCTGGTGCCCAATCACCGTCTCCGCGTCTCTGTTCTCTACGAGTGTGTCCCTCGATAGAGTTTTGAATTGTTGACGTCTGAGTGTGTTAACCTCAATATCTGAGTCTGGGTTGTAGAGAATGTACGCATGGCAAGCGTCCGCCAATTGCCCAATGCGATATATGCGAAACAGGACCTGGTCTTGCTTGGCCTGTCGGTCTTGAGGTTCCATGAGGACAAGGAAATTTGCTTCGGTGAGTGTGACAGCTTCGGCGTAGGCCATGGAGATGACCATGATCCGGGAGCCATGGGGATCCCGCCATTGCCTCAGTCGGTCTTTGCGTGTCCTCTCATCCATGTTGCCATACAACGCGAGCACGTTACCATCACCAAATCTTTTTTTCAGCGCAAAGTACGTCGTAAGCTGAGTAATTGGCTTGTATGCTGCCACCAAAGCCTTGGCAGGGAGTTCCTTTGGCTCATGAGAAGTCTCTGTCGGGCTCCTATACTTTGGATTTGGACGTACCGAGTCCAGGGCCTCTTTGCAAATGCCGAAAACTTGCTCTAACTTGGCACTCTCTGCAGTGAGCATATCCACATACTTCCTCATCGGAGCCGTATCTTCTTGACGGAACTGAGACTGGATTTCCTTCTGCAAGCAATCTGACTCGTCCTCACCACTGCCCGCCATTAGCTCGGCCTTGTAGTTTGCTTGTCCAGGGTACGAGGCAAAGCCAGCCATGTCGTTGCGAGTAAAGGTGTATTTGGCAGGGCTCTCGGAGTCGGGTTTGACACGCCTCTTTGCTGCTTCAGATATAATGTTTGCCCAGTTTGGATTCCTGCAGGGCCGAATTTTGGGTTCAAAGCTACCTGGAAGGCGCGAAATCCGCTTTCCCCATGGGTCTCGTGTCTCGAGCGTTCGTCGCAGCATGAAGGTGGAAATGATGTCGGCACCCACTTTAATCAGTGTATTGTATGCGTCCGTCTTCATCAATTCTTCAAACTCTTGCTTCTTTGCACGTTCGGATATCCTTTTCCAGTTACGAGCCATGAGTTCGCCGTTACATACCTTGCCAGTCCTGGAGTCCACCATTTTCCCAATCTCTTCGTACTCTGATCTTTTCCACTGGCCTTCGCTGGTCTTTATTGAGGAAGGTGTTATGCTCTTATTCCAGTTGTTCATGCCTCTGAGGGCCTTCGTGATGAGTATGAGAATCTCGCTTAGACCGTTCTCCATAGGTGTACCCGACAATGCCCATGACTTCCATTGGTATCCACGGTTGGTCTCGCGCATTTTGTCATACAGCTTGCTGAACTGTGTAAACTCTCCTTTACTGTTGTGAAACTCGTCAAATATCGTGCGGCCCCATACCATACAGTAATCGCTGAGGGGGAGGTTTCCCCGGTCAGGCTGGAGTTTACGGTTCTTATGAATGGACCGTGTTAATTGGACGGCCATCTTACAGAAAGGTTTCCAGATACGAGTAGTGAGAGAGTGCTCACCGCAGAGTAGGATGAATCGGCCTGAAGTCGGAGAAGGTCGGTCAGCGGTTGCCCGGGGGTGGTCCTGCACCATCTTTCCAAGTTTCCAAGGAACTATCTCGCTCAAGATTTCCTTGTTGATTGTGTATTCGTGAGCTGGAACATTCTTGTTGTGCTCTTGGAGCAACAGATTTGCGTCAACCTTAACCCTGGCTTCAACCCATTCGTCCTCCTGCAAAGGCTTCATATCTTCAATTGGTTCTTTGTCCATGGCGCAGATACGTAACGGATGCGGAACGCTCGAGTTGCACCACTTCGATTTCAAGAGACCCATTGAGCGAGCTTCAGCCTTCCATGCCTCAATTGCTTTCCCAGAGCCGCTCGCAAGCGTTGGGGCCAGGCGAGGTACTGTGTTGTAAATGGAAGACTGCGGATTGCAAAAGCAAGTGAATGGATATTTGCCTTGTGATGGACAATCCAGACTGAGGTCAGACCCCGAGGCGTCAGGAGGTATATGGCCGCTTGGGTTTTCTTCCCGGTCAAGCCACATGAGTAGATGTATGTGGCCAACAAGGATGATACCCAAGCAGACTCTAGTCTTGCCAAGACCCATCATATTCCCAAAGACGAACCCGTTGCGGTCGGAGAGTTCGGTCTGGTACAGCTGGTATACTTCAGCAAGCTGGTAAGGGAACCATTGGCCTAAGATGTCCCACGCGTCGGGGAGTCTTAGTGCCTGGCCTCTTCGGAACATGCCCTTATGAAAGCCAAAAAAGAGCTCGGCCATTTCCCACTCTTCAGCAATGCAGCGCTCCATGGTCTTGCCCTTTTCCTTAACAACGTCCTCTCGAACACTGTATACATACTGTATTAGCATACAACGCAAGTGTCTCAAAACAATCACTTACCGTGCATGCAAGAAACGAACCTCCACATCTCTATCTTCTTTCTCTTCGCGTTTCCTACGCTGATTCTCGCTCTCCGAGTCGCTATCATCGGTGTCTTCAGGCCCTTTTGCTTTCATGTTACCCTGGCTCTCCTTAGCCCTTTGGCGAAAGGTAGCAACTTCTTCGGCAAGAGTCCTGCTTTGCTTCTCATAGCGACTCGCACTGTCGGATGTGATCTGGCTTGCTGACAACGACCGCATCGGTGGTTCTAGTGAGGGTGGTGGCGTTGCATTATGCGAAGCCGCCAGACGATCGCTATGCTCTACTGGCTTTTGCTTATTGGACACACGCTTGTGACATGTATCTTTACCATCTCCGTCCAAGCCAGCTAGAATGCGTCAGTGTCAATCTTTCTTAAACAGAATTTTTGTCAATGATCATACCCTTGCGCTTCTGTCCCCTCAATGTCTTTGGCACAAGTTCAAGTTGAAGCGCTTTAAAGTTGTTGCTCCTGATCTGGTATAGCACCGCAGATTTCAGATCTTCATCGTCCTGAATCTCCACATGGCCAATATCGCTCTTGAAATCGTCGATGACCTTATCATGCAACCCATGGGCAGTGTGCGGATCATAGATGTTGTACAGCTCGTTGACATTGTGCAAGTCCCATTTGGGCTTAGACAGCTCGTGCATGAGCTTGTTGAACGACACCATAAGAAGCTTGGGCTCGGTTCCATAGACATTGTTCTTCCGCAGCTCATCTTGCGCCAGTTCATCAAGTATGTCGCTCAAGGGGAATCTGATAGTTTTATCCGGGGCGCGAATCTGGACGACGACACTTTCAAGTGGGAGCGGGTGTTTGAACTGGTCACAACTTGAGTCAAACACTGAGGTTGTCGGATTCGCAGAGGTCACCGATGGAATATGAGCGCTCATCTCAGATGGCTCCGAGTTGCCTGCATCGACTCCAGGTTCGTTTTCTTCCATGAGAGGCGACGATGGCGTGCTTTTTTTGCAGATAGATGCATGTATCAACGGCGTTGAGCTCGCAAGGTGGACAAAGAGGCAGATGGAAAACTTTTCAAATAGCTGTATTGCCACCTGTGCGCTGCTTCCTGTTTGCTTCCCATTCACCATGATGCCCTATGAGCGCCAAGCCCCGCGCCGTGAGTGAGTCAGGATCCATGATCAGCTGGTAAAGATACTGCTGTCAGGGTATGTGTTTGATTTGGATCGCGAGATGCAACAGGTGTGGAACTTCGAGCGCTAGCAGGTAAAATACTGTCACTTGCAGACTAGAAGCTAGCTCGGTGGTGTGGCATACTACGTACTAGTAAGTAAAACAATTCATTTTGCGACTGTTGTTTTACCTGCTTCCAGCTTCCAGCTTCCAGCACACTTCAGAAAAAAAACACAACCAAGGCAGTCAGGCTATAAAACCAAGGCGCCGCATTGAAAGCTAGACGTCTGATGATCGTAGGTAAAGCTTTGCCTTTACCCAGGGATAGTTTCGTGTCACATAGTAACCCCAAAGAATGGGCATAAAGTCAAGCATCTAGCCACCTCGGCTCGCGCAAACAGTGGAACACGAATTACGTCAGCAAAATGTAATGTTCTTTGTTGGTAGTACACGGATTACCGAGCTTCACAATCTAACTACGTACCAACCAATCACCGGTCACTACGCAACCCTCACAACAGTTGAGTTGCCTTACTCTCCAAGTTATACTCTACATGCGCTAGATCACAATGCCGCAGCTTGAAGACCTACCGAACGAACTCAAGCTCCAAGTAATAAGCTACTTGCCGCAACAAGACCTCGCCTCGTTCATGCGGACAAACAGAACTTTCCAATGCCTGGTCCAGCCTATCCTGTACCATAAGATTGAGATATCGCACCAGAATCTTCCACAGCTGCATGGCCTTTGCGGACAGCTGGGAAGATTCGACGAGACCAAAAGAAATAAGATCGGAGACCACGTCTGTCTAATCGAGATCGACACTGACAGACTCGACCTTGGCACCCCATTCCAAATACCCGACTGCGATCGAAAGAAGACGGAGCAATGGATAGACAACTTGCTCATGCCTTACGGGGCAGCCAACTCGGTTACACCTGCTATCCCGTATGATCCAGAAGCTCGAGAAAAATGGCGTGGCGCCTTCTTTGTTCTCAATTCACTGGACGCCCTGCTAGCATACATTGCTGCAAAATCGGCAAATTTGGAGTCTCTGAAACTAGATCTCTCCGGATATTTTCAAACACCCTCAGTCGCTGAGCTACTCTACTACAAGATACGCGCCGACTTGCAGTGCAAACGGGCACCCTTCCCAAAGCTTCGTCACCTCCAGATCGACTCCGTACTGGACATTGATATTCCAGTCTTTGCGTTGTCCGAACTTCGTCAACTACAAATCCGTTTCCTCGACGATGACTCGCCGCTCGAGATTCCTGTTTTTGAGAGCAACAATCTATCGCATTTACACGTCCTTGACCTCTACTATATCAAAGATACAAGTTCAAAAGCGAGGACACTCTTGAGTGACTATCAATTCCCACACCTTACAAAGCTTTGAATCATGGACGGGAACCTGAACATGAACGGCCATTATCACAAGATCCCTGAGGTTGTTCGGGACTATTGTCCGATGTTGGACACACTCGTAACCGATGTCGTGTATGTGGAGAACGCAGATAGCCCACCGCCCACCACCCAGCAGCCAAAGCCATACTCTCTCTCTAGAGTGAATTTCTTTAGGACTCATGTGCTTTTCCCCGCCGACCATAACGGTCACCTTCGCATCGATCGGCTTGGGGGTTTATTGCCGGTCAACGTTCGCCGTGTTGAGATAAGTGGCATTACAATCCAATCAATGCAAGCTATGGTGGAAGCCCATACGGCAGACATAGCTCTGGAGACTCGGCTCCCCGCATACCTTGAGAGTATCCGTCTGATATTCGACTTCGACGTGATAAGCTCTGTCTCGCTTAAGGGCAAACTCCACCTTGTGGAGCCAGTCCTGCATGCCCTCAAGGCTAAACTCAACGCTGAGGGAGTAGCACTAGGCATCAGCCTACGTCGCATTGGCGAACTAGAGGAATTTTACGATGAGCACTATATGGGTGATGAACCTAAAGCAAGTGTATGATCACTAGCTAGACAACTGATTGAGGGCATGGGTTCGACGCATCGAGATATTGGTCGGCGATGTGATGTGATGTGATGCGGGCATGCTCATATGTCGCACCGGAAGGATTGCGTGTGGTCTGGTTATGGCCATTGGGTGGCGATTGCATAGGAGGGCGAGGTGTAGGGCCGTAACGCGGTCGTGGAGTGTTGTTTGGCTCGTCATCATCAGCGTAGCAGAATCCGGGTGCTCACTAGTGCACTTGGTATCTTTGCGAAACAGGCACCACATTTTCGGAAGCTACGAAAATCCTGGGAGTCACTGCGTCATGTTCACCATTTTGAGACAGCTCAACGGTCCTCTTCACCCTTCACCACTCTTCACCACTCTTTACATGGAATCAATTGTATTCAACATGACAACTCCAGACCGCTCCCACGCTATAAGCAGCAAAACTATAAACGCGTCGCTGACTTATTCTGTCCGAGACAGCCAAATTTACGTGTCTACCACACTCGTCCGCTCTGCATACAGTTCCCATCTACCGCCCAGATACATGCACCATGAACTACACTAGTAGATTGTCAGTGGAGATACTCCAAACAATCTTGGGATATGTACCACAGGAACACTTGGGGGCCTTCTTACAAACGAGCCAGTACAACTACAGTTGCAGGGGATACAGCTTGTATCGGCATGTTGACATATCTTATCAGAACCCCCAGCAAATCTTCCATCCTTGTGCCCTGAGTTTCAGTGCCGACTGCATTTCCATGCACGCCCGAAGCTTGTTCATTGATACTTCTCGGCTCAGACTACTACCCCGCAAAACCCCTGAACCTCTCAACGATCTAAAATTAGTTCTTCAATGGGTCGCGAGGCTGTTTCCGGACCCACCAACTGAAAAGAGAACACCAGATATATTGGCTCAGTGTGGACAAGGTCGCAGAGAGTGGATCTATGGTTTCTTCCGGTCAGGCATAAGCACCTTGTTGGTATCCATACTACTAGTCAATAGAACAAACTTGCTCACTCTTTGGGTTGTGGCTGCCAAAGTTTGGTGCCCTCACCATCTAACCGTGGTATCTACTACCATTCGACTAATCTGCCTCACGCCCAACTGCTTGCTACTTGCCGACATTTGATGCTGAGGAGAGGTGATTGGTTCGAGCGGCTAGCCGATTGCCTTGCCACGGTGCGTTCTTTCGCTCTGCCCTATGTCTTGGCATTATGACGTTGCGCACATAGTACTAATACTAAAATACTGTGAGACAGAAGACGAGTTTCTACCTGCTTCAAGTTCAAGACAATCACTCAGGCCCGATCCACGCAAAGGCACCTCGCAACTACCGCAATCTTCACGCAATGAAGAGACGAGCTTCTGATAGCGATATTGAGAAGGCATTGAATCACCGTGCCTGGAGGGGCGCTGGTGCACTTAGCACGTGTACACGAACATGGAAGCCACCGTCGCCAAAGCCAACCTTGTCCAAACAAGCACTATCCTCGATCGACCAACATACCATCCAGCATCTTGCTAAGCATCCCTCCCCCCCGCATATCTTCCACCATACCTCTGAGAATACCTGGGAGTTCATCAGACACTGGCTAGACAACTGTGGGCCTGATTACGAGCCACATACAATGCCTGCTCATACACCTCTAAGCAAACTCGCTATTAAGCGACACAGCTCAAGACACCATCGAAATACCCCAGACACTCAGAGCTCTACTTACACCAAGACACCTTCTCCGCAAACATATCGAAGTCGTAACTTGAAACTTGCCGGCATCTACATTGATAAAGTAGCCGAGCTGCCACCCAAGATCGATAAGTATATACGACATATCCTCGGGATCACGTCATGGGAAGACCGAGTGACGGCCTCGAACCAACTTCAAATGCAGCCACGTTTCAATGAACTAGCAGAGAAATTGATTGCAAAGTCAAAAGAGGACGCCTCTAGGTGTATGCTCGAGGCGGAGTGGCAGACAAACCTAAATTATGTTTTAAGGGCTATCGCCGATATACTAGAAGGTGTAGTCCAAACAAATACGTCTGAGAAAAGTGAGTTTACTATATGTGCTCAAGAAGGGATTAGGAAGTGGAATACTGATTTTTCATTGTAGTTTGGAATGCGGATCTCAAACCAAGGCAGGCATCGCTGGACACGTTACGGAACAAAGCACAGGACGGAACGCAAACCCCCATGTTCGATCCAGCGCAAACCAGTTCTCCACGAATCGATCCAAATCTCACCAGGGTCACCGACTCAGATTATTCTGAATCAACGTCACCACCCTCACACGCGGAATCAGCCGTCACAACCACTAGTACTCCTAGTACTGATGTGGCAAGCGCATTCCATATCAGAACACCAAAACCAGACATTACGGTTGGGCTGGCAGACGAGGCGTTTACACCACAGCAACAGCTGCTGCTTACCTATCACCAGGCAAAAAAGTCAATCTTGAGCGAACCTCACGCGGCTGAGATGGGCATCCGGTTTCCGTTCATGATTGCGGAGACGAAGGGCTGGAGCGAGAAGGGGACTCTTATGAGCGCGCAGAATCAGGCCGCTGTTGGCGGTGCTTGCATGCTAAAGATTCTGAAGGATTTGACTGACTATGCCGCACGTGGCATTGGTCTTCACCCAAAGCAAGAATCGCCACCGACAACACCAGAAGAGCTGTTTCCCACGCTGGCTATATGTTTCTCTGTCGTATCTGAAGGGCCTATCCATGAGCTATGGGTGCATTTCGAGCGCGAAGACGAGTTCCACATGCACAATCTTAATGCGTGGCGCACTACAAAGAGATCTCACGCGGAAGAGTTTGTGAACTGTCTAGGCCGGATAATCGAGTGGGGCAAAGGTGATTTCAAACAGGGCATTGTTCAAAAGCTGGGCTGAGTGCTGGAGGTATAGTAGGACACATAATTGGTTGCGAACAGATGCGATCAGATGCCCTCGTATCACTAGGCAACATCTCTACACCATGCTTTGCTTGGAACCCTATTCATGCTCATGTAGCTATCTATAGTACTCTTGTAGCATTCAATCGGCTTAAGCTCATTTACTTATGATCACGGACTGAGCTATGCCCACGCCCGCCAACTCTTCGCTATGAAATACCTGGTCGCGGCTGATTTCGGCAAACAGCGTTGTGTATGCTACCTAATCTGAACTGTCCCAAGGTTGTTGGCAGAGTCAGCCATGGAACGGGAGACGGCGGTTCTACTATGGCTTCTTGCAAACAGTGCTGGCAAGTGAGCTCTCTAGAATGATATGCGAACCGTATATTAAGTCAGTGCTGTTAACAAAATTATCGCTCTACTTACAGCAAACACCTTCTCTCTGAGTGAAAGTCTTTTTTTACCCCTCCCCGGTGGCACCTACTCGTTCTATGACCCAATTTGACGTTTTGTGCAAGGTCTGTTGTCGATACCGAATGCATATTAATGGTCTTAATGTCTCCAAGCATAAACATCTTCAGTCTAGGCAAGGGAGCGATCATGTTGGTGAGCTCTGCCACAACGACCATAATCATTGCCATGGGCGCAAAGGCGAAAAAGAAGGATCTGCTTTAGCTGTCAAGCAATAAATGACTGAAGAGATAATCGTAAATAACGTATCTGGACCGTGTTCGCTGCATTGTAACCTGGCTTTCTTTGTTGCCTGTAGGTCTTTCATGTTCAAGCAGTCTTGGTGGTAAGCTGTACTGTAAGCAACCTTCTAGACTTGTTATGGCCATCCTGGTCTCGGTTCGTTCACCTCTTATTTGACGCTCTGATTGTTATATCTACAGACGTGCAAGCTTTTTCTGGCTAGGTCCGCAGGCAGCTGCAGAAGGAACTGGACCGAGGATACCCCTGTGGGGTTTGTATTCCCAGTGCTCGGCATATGCCTGGGATGTTGAGAAGGTATGGCCGCATATAGCATGTGGTCAAGGAAAGAGCAAGAAGACGGAAATACACGTGAAAGCAGCAGTACTTCTACATATATCTCTGCCAGCGTCAGCGAGAGACCGATAGATGTATGGGATGACTGGGCCAGCATTGGCACACTTAGATGTAAATAGAGCTGGTTTGCACGCACACACGTGCAAAGAGACGCAGTTTGACTTGCGATGTACAACCATGAACAATAATTTTCCCATTTTCAGAGGCCATACCTGCAACGAGATATGTATACAGACGTGCGAGCCACTAGGAGAACATGGTGTGAGTCGCCCAAAAGCCATGCCTTGACAACCTAGGAGCATTGCCATATTCAACTGTCTTGGATATTGCAGGGTATTTTTCCTTTTGTTTGTGTCGCATATGAGTTGGATGTATGAATGGATGTACGGGTGGTAGTCTGCGTGGGTTCAGAGTCAGCAACTTCTTCTCCTCAGTAGTAGCGACGCGGCCCAAGTCGACGTTGATGACGCGATAGTGACACTCCCACCGTGTTTGGTATCAGCGCACACATTAAGGATTTAGATGCCAAGCAGCGGGAAGGACTGTGTGGAGTTTACAGGTTTTGTTGTTTGTTGGGGCGCTCCGGTGATCTTGTGTGCAGGTGGGATACACATACTATGATCACGTGTGGTCCAGTACTGATGCCAATAGTAACTAACTATAATACTTATATACATAAACTGCGTCAGGTTTGCAGCCTTCTCTATATCAGTGTCCAGCGAAGGAGGCCTCATATTATCCTCGCCTTAATTTAATTTCTATCCTTGGATGCATGCACTAACCAACGCATGAGGAAATGATATTTTTAGAGTGGTGTTGACAACCTTGCTAGCATCACGTAACAACCTATAATACTAGTTGCCTGCACTTCCAGGCTTGGACTATCGATGAAACAGAGCTTGAGTATTCTCTAAAGAGCATATATCTGCTCAAAAATGCATAATAACGCGGGGGATGAACATGACTTTATGGTGTGTGGGCCTGTAAGCTGACAACAGAGTATGGCCGCATTTTCAGGTGATGTACACACATATGTACATACATAATTACATGTGGATCTATAAAACTCAGTCCCAAAGCCAACGGCTGAGCTGATATTAGAGTGCGTGCTGATGTATCCTGGATTTATGTGGAGAAGTAATTATAGACATCCATCGCATCTCATGACTCATTCGATTATAAGCAGAATAGTAAATAAGCATGACCCGTAAACTCCTAGAAATATAGTCACCCATGAAGCGACACCATGAAAGCTATTTGCCTAGCATACTTGGATCATTTTTTGATGTACCCTGGAGAGGTACTAGCACAATTGAGGATTCTCGAGCCGGAGTTGAACCCTTTTATGTGAAGAGAAATCAGAACGCCTTTTAGAGAATGCCGAGAAGTTAGAGAAAAGACCTATCAGCTATAGACCATGTGTACAAAGACACGTAGCTGCAACACTATTGGCAGCGTCAGTTGCATCTAGCGCATTGACTACTTCTGAGTAGGTATCCATGTACGCCTCACTCTCTCAGTGGGACTAGACATCTGTGACATGCATTAGAGACCGAGCGTAAGGGCTTTTATCCTCATTATCCATGTCCCTGTCACTGCTGATGCTAGCACTGCGCGGTGCGTATTTCTGTACAAGAGTGCCAATGAGCTTCACAACCGTGTCGTGGCTTACAAGAGGCTTCAATTTTGGCCATGTTTCGAGGTTGAGGTCGGTGGCCACGGCTTTGATGACTAGTTCCTGAAGACGTTTGGGTGCATTCTGGTCCTTCAGTATGATTTGAAAGATAACTCGTAAACTGTTGTCGTACTGATTCAAGCTGCATTCGAATAAGCTTTGAAGTGCAGTGCAATGACCTAGTTTGCTTTGCAAAAGACCATTGATGATGGTGTATAGCTTGTTCTCGCAGAACTCAACTAGCACTTCGATTCCCCAAAGCCTCGCAAGTTGCAAGGTGTTGTAGAGCTGCGGCAGGTCCTCACAAGAAAGGGCACCTTTGTAGATCCATTGCATCACGAACTGGACTGCATCCTGTTCGAATCCAGGAATCACAATTCGCTTTTGGGCTGCAGCTCGCAAAGGATCCTTCTTGGCTGCTTCAAACTCTTTCTTCTCGATCCTGTGGAGTCGAGCAAACAGCTTCTGGACAATCGCATATACGCTGCGAGGCTTGATGCATGCCAAGCGCGCTCTGATATCGCTGTCATAAGTGGCAGCGGCGAATTTCCTCGTCTTAACATGTTTTGATGTGATTGCATCTTGCGTGGCGACATCGATTAGCTTTCTGATAGCCTCGTGATACGCTGGCAGCGGGTAGCTATCATATGCAGACATTGTTAGAAGTATAAGCTATCAGCACGTCAGTAAGATATGCTTATAATTATCCTGGATTAGTCCCAACGTACCTGCTCTTGGTGACTGCTAGCTTCAGAGTCATCCTCAGTTACCTCTGGGAAGACATGTGCTGCAATCTTGTTGCGAAGAGCATGGGACTGTTCGTACAGTTCCCTTAGCGGCTCTGCCTTGGAGAAGCGCTCTTCGAGTACTCTGCTATGGTGCCGAAGCAGCTCTTCGTGCATCGTAAGTTCAGTAGTAAGATCTTCCCCACAAACAATCGTGACCGGAGTTTGCATGAGCATTCTAGAGCTAGTGTCAGTCACGAAACACTGACAGAAAGTAAGATGCTTACTGATGCGGCTTGAAGTCATTAGGCTCAGCAGTGGAAATCGGCGTGTGCATTGAGTCTTGCTCCATTGTGGAGACGCTGATGGATGATAGTGACGGGGGAAGGTAATGGATAAAAGAGACCAATTGGAGTTGATAGAAGGATTTGCGTCGTCAACATTGAATCTTTGTCCTTTACCTAAAGCTATAGAGTACCCAGCAAGTGTGTAAGAGAAGAGTACATTGAGTGGCGTTTCTTTGAGGTAATCGACAGCTCGTCTCTTACTCGTCAGCAACGCGATTTCGCACAATTCAATTCAGGCCATACTACTGTCAATATGGAAGGAGTAGATTATTGTGTGTGTATGAAGAGGAAAGTGAGCAATATGCGTATGTGAAGTGACTTTGCTATTTCCCTCATGCTAGACTACGTAGTGTGTCTGCTCTGTAATTTTACCTGGACCAAAATTTAGAATACTAAGTTTCTCACCTTCCCGTCACACGTCAAACTTACTCGAACACTCTTTCTGCCCCTCCTAAGTTTCTTTCTCTCTAACCTTTCAGTTTACTCAGGCAGACTTACTGTTCTCTAGGCGCCACTCCTGACTCTTCTTGCTCCAGTCTGCGTATTCGGGCTTCTCTTCTTTAACCCATCTGCTAGTACCCCCACGATTCATGGCTCAAAATTTTAGTGCTGGAGAGCGAAGTCACTGTGAAGATCCAGGATCGACCACTCGTACCGACGCGCTAAATAGCTATCGTTCTAAACACGCTGAAAAGCTTTTCAATAGTTGCTCCACCGCAACCTTAAGCCAATTGTATCGTTGTATGCCCTCTTGGGACTGCTGCATATGGGATCTTCACCGTCGTCTCACCTACATTCTATGACTGGTCCGAGTGCGTTGTGCAGCAGCCTATCTCTACAGAACACCGGCTCTGATGCCGATGCTAGCTTGTCTCCTACCACCAAGCGCCGTCTCCGACACAGTTCAGCGCCATTGCCCTTATCAGTGCACGACTTTGGATCACAGAGTAACGCTTTTCCGGCGGCCTCTTGCATACATAGATGCACCGACGTCAACAATTATACAGATAACTGCACCTCCACAGAAAGCCGCGTCGCTATTGGCATCAGTATCGGCACGTCGCAGGACTGCACCCATGGTCAGGATGTCTGCGGGTCTGCAGAGTTTCAGGGAAAGGGGTTGTGTGGAGAGACTTCACGCTAGATGAACCACATTCTATTGTCCTCTCAATTCAGTAAACATGACTTCATCCATTTCCACGACCATAAGCATATTCATAGAATTGATTTTTGGAGCAGTCTTTGCCCCCTCCCCTCCCACATGCTTATATGGAAAGTGAGTCGAGAATTGTGCAGATATCAGCTTGACAGAAGACCGATGCAGGCCTAATCTGAAAAACTTTCTCCCGATGATCTGTTCTGGTAATCCGAGTCATCGTCCCCTCGTTTCTCCTCCATCGCCTCTTGCTTAGCGTACTTGGCTTCATCACTTGACAGGATCTCCTCCTCGGGTGTTGTCTGCCGTTTCCGCTTCCTAATAATAGGATCCAAAAGCTCCACATACTGTGCTCCTTGTACACTGTCCTCTGCATACTTGATATACTCATAAAGCGTTTTGCCCGAGATACAGATTTGCGCATCCTCGTCTTCTAGTTCCTTGTTTGCAAAGGTCTTGCAAGCGAAGTCGCTCAGATAGAGCTGTAAGCCGGAATCATCAACGGGATTCCCTTGGTCGTCACGGAAAACCTAATAGAAGCATCAGAACATCAAGAACAAACTAACAATATGACGACTAAACTTACTTGATCCTTGACCTCCTCAACGGATTCCAGCATATACCCATCACGGGTTTCGGATATTCTGGGCCGCCATACCGACAACGTTGCTTCACGCAACGTTTTAGGATACGGAAGTTTCAAGCATATAACTACCCTTATGTTGCCATTTGATTCCATAAGATAGTCTTCGGCCAACTTGTTTAAGAGGGTCTTCTTCTGTGAAAATGCGACTTCGATGACGACGCCTGGATATTTTACGATATCGTGCCTGAACGAAGCGTCTGGATGGTACTTGGATTTACTGTCCTCAAACCTTATCTCAGCTGACCGGGATGAGTTTACCCTCTTCGCAAATTCTGCCAGCTTTCCAGACCCCAAGGCGATTGTCTGAATCTGGGTCCGTATCCCACCCTCGACCTTGTCGATGAAGCGTTCGTGTATCTCGTGTGGCATGCGAATGACTATTGTGCGCGTGTTCGTGTTGCAGCAAAAACTAATAACGCCCATCGTCAGCTGTGGTTTTCGCTTTGTGTGCAAATAACGGACCGTATCTTGTCTTGGATGTAATCCCAAAGTTCATCGTCTTGCTCAAGCTTTTCGTTCAGATATTCATACTCAGGCTTTTCAAGCTTGAATAATACATCTAGGTCTTGGTTGGTATCTTTTCCTGCTCGTATGCGTTTGCAAAGGTCAATAACGCGTTCAGCTGTCTGGAACGGCTTCTCGTCGGTCGGCGGAGGCGTCAAGGGTCTTTGCGTTGAGCTTGGAGGCGGCGTAACTTCCTGGCGCCGGGCTAGATCTGCTTGCGACATAGCCATACGCTGTTTTGCATTGTGATGTCGTTACGTGAATACTCTCTCACGAAGCGCACCGACATTATGTCGCGCTGCGCACGGACGACCGTTGCTTACTAAGTAGTATGTGACGCCAGGTCACGTGCTATCTCTGGTCAGACGGCGCGCACAGGCCTGCTGGCATAATCGCCCTATTACTATCACCCTATTACTATCAGACTAAACTCATCTCACCAACTACGGCGTTGCACAACTCGCAACCAGTATAAAACAATTCGTATAGCCTGTCTCTAGCTTCTCTTGTTGTCTATATTAAATTATCAGCTCTACAGCGTGCGCACATCTCGAAACTAGTATAAAACAACTCGTACAGCC